TAAACTGGTTCGTTATAACCACTAAAAAATACGTTGGTCTTTATGGACGACGGTTCAATTAAAAGAAAAAAGTTCGTTTTAACCGAAAGTTCACTATAACCGGGTTCATTATAAGCGGACTTTACTGTTATGTTTTTCGTACAGATTTGCAATCGGTTTTTGAGGATAAATGGGTAGAAAAGGATGGGGCGCCGGCTTGCAGAAAGCTGGTAAGAATTATATCAGCCACAACCCAGCTGGTACATGAAATTAATATATTAAAAGACTTTTGAGAATGAAAGTAGATATACAGGGCGGCCAATAATCCAAACTACAAATAAATGGAAGTTGCAGAACTTGAAAATGTTTTTAAATTGAAATAAAGCAGGCAAAGTAAGTTGATTAGTTTAAGTAAAACACCCGGTTTAGCATAAAATTTTTGTCTTGTAAAAGTCTAAAATGAAATTGTAAGTGTTAAAATAATTAATAAAACTTCAGTTCTTATTGATTTTGGGACCAAGTTGTTGATGAGAAACCCTTACGTTATCATCGTTTGTCTAACAGTTTGAGTACACACTATACAGAGTGCTGAAATAAGTTTAGGGTTTTTTATAACGAACAGAATGAGTGAAAGTTTTACGAGAAAACTCGTTACCTCCATTCCCCTGCACACTGTAAAGTTTCTAAAAAAAATGTGGTTTTTTAGTTTTGACTTGTTTTTTTTTTGCTTTACTTGCTACTCAAAAACGCTCTATTTTGTACAGTTTCACTTAAAACCACTGACGATCTGGAGGTATTTTAGGCGAAAATTTACAAGATAAATTTACAGCTTTGTAGGAATTTTACAAAAACTTTTTTCAGTGTCGAATTCGGAACAAAAACGAAAATATATTTATCCCGTTTTTCCCCGAAAGTCATTAAGGTTTTCTCAAAAACCGATCACAAAACTAAGTTTTCAATGAAAAGTGCAAAAAACATTAGTTTCTGATAATTTTTTTCCTTTTTGAGCATAATGGGGTCTTTTCAGCCAAAAATGATTAATTTTGTTAGAAAATTCATCATTTCGCATCGAACTTTAGAAAACCCTTTTCAGCTTCAAATTTGGCACAAAAACCAAATAATTTTATTCAGGTTTTTACCGAAAGTAATTAAGCTTATCTTGAAAAAAACGACCAGAGCAAAAGTTTGCAAAAATATATTTGGAAACTTCGGAGCCCCGATCGCTTTAAAGATTGATAAAGTTGCTTTTAAACTTAGTTAAAGTTTTCCCAACGTTTTACTGGCAAACTGAGTGCTTTATGTAAAAAAAATTAATAGATCGATTTTACAAGAAAACTCGTTGACTTTCTCTGGACTAAGTTCTGTTGCTGGGAAAATCTAGATGTCCTTTTTTATAGATGTTTGGACAAAGTAGTAAAACGTTACTTATAAAAAATGTTGATGACCTTTTTTTATATGTTAAAATTCCGGTCTGGGTCACAAAGCGTTAATCCGCTTCAATAAATGACTTATAACTCACTAACCGATGAGTTGTAACTCGTTAACTCAGAGAACGGCAACAACTCAATAGCGCAACTCAACACAGTGTTACCCAGGCCTAAGAGTTACTATCAAGATAAATGCTCAACAAGAAAAAAATAAATGCTATAAACCAAAAAAACCTCCAACCAAAGACATCATAGAAAGAAACATTGAATCATACCAAAAAGAAATAAACGTGAAACTGAACAACATAGAGATCTCTGAAACTATGGCGGTGGACCAACCCTCCGGGAGAATTGTTAACGACCTTAACACGGTGGTTCAGAAAATATGTAGGTATACAAAATAGAAACAACACACCTAAAAAGACTAGTAAGGAAACCGAATCACTGATAGAGAACAGAAGGAAGCTTATTCAGGCATCACCGGAACATCAAGCACTTAGCAAAACTATCAATAAAGAACTTAGGAAAGATGTCAGAAGATATCATACAAAAGTTATAAAAGAACACAGAAGAAAATATGAATATGAAGATCTTACGCTCCCGACTTTCGGAAGGAAGATCTATAATACACAGCATTAAAAATGGAGAGGGTGAAATGATCTCAAATAAAGGAAAAATAGCTTTAGAGATAGAGAAGTTTTACAAAGGTCTATACAGTGTGTTTGGTAAGTAAATGCATTTCTTGCAGGGGGTGATAGTGCAAGTAATTTTGGATATATTTCGTTAATATACCATGTACCAAAAACGCTTAATTTCCGATTCACAGGGTGATAAAGCTTTAATAAAAAAAAAGGTTACTTAATAATATTGCGGAAACCGCTTGGAATATTTAAACGAAATTTGACAAGCTTAGGCTCTTAACAACAATACATGTTTTGTGATGAAAATTTAGTTTCTAGCTTTTCCAGTGGCGTGGGCACAGGCACAAATGTAGATAATTTTAAATAAAAAAATAGTTACATCACTGATTTTTTAAGCAATAGTTTTTAGTATAAAAACAAAAATTGTGTCTGTGTGTATTAATTTTTAGAAAAATCAGTGGCGCAATATTTTTTTATTTAAATTTATCTTCAGACGTTAAAAACAAAATTGTTATCACAAAACATGTATTGCTGTTAAGTGCATAAGTCTATAAAATTTTATTAAAATATTCCAAGGAAAAAATTTCCGCAATATTAAAAAATGTAATTTTTTAAATTAATACTTAAACACGCTGTAGATCGGAGACTATGAGTTTTCGGAATATGGTCTATTAAAGAAATATATCCAAAATTACGTGCACTACCACCTCCTACAAGGAATCTACTTACCAAACACTCTGTATTGTACAAAGAACCTTTACCAAAAGAGGTAACATCTTAAATGTCAACCATCTATTCAACAACCGAGCATATACAAACTCTGAAAACTCTTCTAGAAAAATGTGAGGATTATAACCTACTCATCCAGATAGCATTCGTAGATTACCAAAAATCTTTTGACTCTATAGAACTACATGCGGTATTTAAGTCTGGATAATGCTAGAGTTGACTCGAGATATACGAACTTAATCAAAAGTATATATAAAAAAGCAAAGCTGTAAATCAGAATAGACGAAGTTACGTCTACCAACAAAGTAAAGTCGAAAGAGGAGTCAGGCAAGGAGACACACAATCACCTAAACTTTTCACCCTGGCGATGGAAGACGTCTTCAAAACCTTAGCATGGGAAAATAAAGGTATAAGAATCGATGGATGTTATCTAAGTCACCTCCGCTCCGCTGATAATATTGTTATAGTAACCTCAAATTTTGAGGGATTACAAGACATGCTATCGGAGTTAAATACCAAATCCAAAGCCATCGGTCTAAATATATATTTGCACAAAACGAAGGTCATGAACTCTCACCAAGAGGACAAACAAATAACAATAAACAACTTCGTAATCATACCACATATATCTAGGCCACAAAATTAAATTGGGGAAAGGAAATCAGAGAGTAAAGAAGTGGCAAGACGGACACAACTAGGTTGGGCAGCCTTTTCCAATGTGAGGAACATCCTCAAAGGGGAAATGCCCATATCACTGAAAAGAGGATGCTTCGGAAAATGCATCATGCCAGTCCCAACTTATGGACTCCAAACAATGACCCTCACGAAAAGCAGCATGCAGAAGCTGAGCGTAACGCAAAGAGCCATGGAACATGGTCATGCTCGGAATCACCCTAAGGGATAGGATTACGAACGAAGAGATCCGACGTAGGACGAAAGTAACCCACATTACAGAACGAATATCCCAAACCATCATAAATCATGGCTTGAGTGTGATTCTGCCATTTAGCCAGTTTTTACACAAAATATCTACCTCAAATTCCTCAAAATTCCATAAAAAATGAATAAAACGACCAATTCGATAGCCAGTACTTAATTCTGTAAAAAAGTTTAATTTATCGGATTGGTTTATGTTTGGTCTCGAAAGCGGGTTTGTTTACGGTGACCATCCAAACGCGTCTGAACTATTCTGAACGTGAAAGATGTCTGAAAATATTGCCGCTTGAGCAGACGCTTTCTGCAAAATACCCATAAAAGATAAAATTAAAAAACCATGATTCATGCAAAGGGCGTTCAAACAAATGATTATATCATCATGTTAGTTCTGTAGTAATGCGACAGAATTTCGATATCGCATGAGTTTTTGGGTAAAATGTCTGAATATTTAGTTTATTACAGACAATAGACGAAATCGGTCTCCAGTCCGTTATGTCGTGTGAATCGCGTTCTTAGATGGAAAATATAGACCCATTGTGACCCTTAAAGAAAGTTTATAATTAAATTCAAAATGCATTTTTATTGTGCGAGCAAGTATAGGTGCTTGATGAGGATTGATACAGAAAGCTGGTCATACCAGATTTCAATATCATACGAACATATACGTACATCATACGAATATGTACATTCCTTAGTTTTAACTGATTTTAGTTTCTCGAAAAGCAACTGAAGTTGTACGCATTCTTTACATTTTCTTTTCCTTGCTTTGCTGATTTTCAGTAGCATGGATTTGGGCAGATTTCTCGATGTTCTAAACACATTTTTTATTTCTTTCCAGGTGGCCCGATGCAGCTTGTGGTAAGATTGGCATTATTTTTTTTTACCGTTAACCGAACCTAATTTCTCACCCCAAGAAACCCCCAGATGCAAAGTTTCGTTCAGATAACAGCATTACAAACAAAATTATAATTTATTATCAATTTTTTAATCTTAAATTACTTAAAGCCCGTTTTTAAGGAATTTGTCCACTTTTAGATGAGACAAATTATGCTCAATCATCATGGGATATTGGTATAAACAGACAGTATATAGACACCCTGTGAAATAATAGTATTAATAATGAAACAAGATATTTTGTGTAAAAGTTCCAAATACTTAAAAGAAGGTGAACTACTAATTGCAACTATTTCCCTTCGCTCATTAACGCGAAATCAAAATTGGTGGATGCCAATGGCATGAAACCTTTCAATAATGCATTTGAATGCAATTAATAATCAAAAGCACTTACCAGCCATAGTGTTGACACGAACAGTCACGTAGTTCTTGAAAAACAAGTGATTGAAACACCCGACCGCCGTATCCACACACGAGGTGACCCACGGTCGGTAGCAAAATAACTTTATCGGAAAAATATAAGCATTGACGATAAATAATAAATAATAAATAAGATTTGAAGCCCCTTTCTCTTTACAATTAGTTGTCAACAGTTACATAACCTCATTTTTCTGACAATTGACAAGTACGCAACGTTGTCACGATTTGCTAAATACTACTAAGACAAGGAAATGCAAGCAACACTCCTTCTTTGTCTAAGTTAGATGCATATCGTTCACATAGAAGAGAGAGTGAAAATATTGATTTTTTCTAATTTTGTTTTTAATCTACAGCATAAGTTAAGCAATTCAGGCGACAAATACAGGGTTGCTCATTAGTGCGTCAAAGTGCGATATCTCAGTAAATATGAGGTTTACAAGAAAATTCGTCCAACGAAAGTTTTTCACGTTTAAAAGGTCCACATTCTAAAATTACTTTCCAATATACAGGGTGCATCATAAACGTGTGGTAGTTACCAACTCTGGTTTTTTAAATGAAACCCCCCCTTTTTTTTGTTATTTTCAGATTGGCCGTTCAATTTTAATTTATGTTTGTTTCAACTGTTTTACCTGAAAAATTTACGATTTCCGAGTTATTCGTAAAAATGTGTTAAATTGTTTCCATGGTAACATGTACCCGGTTAACTTGATCTAAACAAAAATAAATTAATTTTCTCCCTTTTTGCAAATAGCTTAGAAACGGTGCTTCT